TGATGAGGATAGTTCCAAAGTATATGCTACCTGCCAAAGACACAACCTCAGCCAGACTAGAAAGGTAAGACAGACAGAAACCAAACCCTGGAGGCCCCTCAGAACAGCTGCACATGGATTTTATACAATTGCTTCTGGCAACAACCCATAAATATGGTTATTGTTTTTCATTCTTAGGATGAGTGCTTTTTCTTCACTGGAAAACTATGGCTCTTAAGATATTCTAAACAATTTTATCTTCTCCAAACTTGGAGAATCGCAAACATGGACACATACATCACTGGTACTATTATTAAAAAAGCAATTTAACCCCCATGCCTGAGAATTTCACTGTCATTGTATACAGATTTGAGGAAGATAGAGCAAATGGAATTCTCAACTCTAAGTATCAAAGCTCACAGAAATCCTCAAACTTCCAAGAACCAAGCTATTGACATTGGCCCTAGTGAGGATAGGATGGTACCCTCTCAAATCCCCCAGGTGGCACAAGGTGCTTGCTCCTGAGTTAACATCACACTGTCCATGCACTGGGAAATTACTTCCAGCCCTGATTTCAAACATAGTACAGGCTAATGCATCTGAATACCAGACATCATGTGATGCTTCCAGATGTATCACACACTATGGTCTTTGTTTCCAAAGCCCTCTTAAACCGTTTCTACACAGTCTAGAAACATGGTCACTGAGTCTTTTGGAAATGACACAGGAGAAAAACTGCCCTTGAACATCAAAGAGAAAGACCTCATGTGGTACTGCACATAATCAGCACAAAAATAAAACAGAGATTTTTGATCCAATTAGAAAGACATGCATCATTGTTTCTGTATTTCAATGACAAATCCTCTGGAAGGGAAATGAGGAAAACTGCCCTGTTTACAATACCCTCAAAAAATAAAAAAATAAAATACTTGGGAATCAACCTAACGAAAGAGGTTGACTGATAGTTTCATTCCACAATGAAACTATAGAACACTAAAGAAAAAAATTAAAGAAGACTTTAGAAAATGGAAAGAGCTTCCTTATTCTTGGATAGGCAGAATTGATATTATCCAAATGACCATACTACCAAAAGTGCTATACAGATTTAATGCAATTCCAATCAAAATTCCAATGATATTCCTCATAGAAATAGACAAAGCAGTCATGAAATTCATCTGCAAAAAAATAAGAAACCCAGAATAGGTACAGCAATCCTTAGCAAGAAGAGTGAAACATGTGGCATCACTATACCAGACCTTAAACTATACAACAGAGTAACAGTAACAAAAATGGCATGGTATTGGCATCAAAATAGACCTGCAGACCAATGGTACAGAATAGAGGACACAGAGACTAACCCACATAATTACAGTTATCTCATATTAGACAAAGGTGCAGAATACATACATTGGAGAAAAGATAGCCTGTTCAACAAATGGTGCTGGGAAAACTGAAAATTCATATGCCACAAAAGTGAAATTAAGCCCTTATCTCTCACCATGCCAAAACTGAACTCAAAGTGGATCAAGGACCCAGGAATTAAACCAGAGAACCTGTGCCTAAAGAAAGTAAAAGTAGCCCAAATATTCCTCATGTCGGATTAGGCCCAACTTCCTTAATAAGACTCCTATAGCACAAGAATTAAAATAAAGAATCCATCAATGGGTTGGATTCAAACTAAAAAGCTTCTTCTTAGCAAAAGAAACAATTGGTGAGGTGAATAGAGAGCCTACACCTTGGGAACAAATTTTTATGACTCACACATCAGATAGAGCACTAATCTCTAGGGTATATAAACAACTCAAAAAGTTAAAAACCAGGGCTGGGGATGTGGCTCAAGCGGTAGCGCGCTCGCCTGGCATGCGTGTGGCCCGGGTTCGATCCTCAGCACCACATACCAACAAAGATGTTGTGTCCGCCGAGAACTAAAAAATAAATATTAAAAAATTCTCTCTCTCTCTCTCTCT